GACGGCTCTCATTTTTTGTATTATACTTGATTTTGTAAGAAAAAAAAATTATAATATACACCAAAGATTTTTATTCAGATAATATCAGCACAAAATTAAACTGACATTAAAGGAGAATAAGATGAGGATATTCAATAATTGAGCACCAGTCTTTATGGCGAAGACGATATTCGGGAATTTTCAAAAACGGTGGTTTAATATTCCAAATCCATAAATTTTTAAGAAATGGAAAAGCTTGAGCAAGTCGAATGAAAAATTCATGTTTAAATGTATATTTGTCCCGTTATTTCCAATGTCAACGTGACGATGAAACTTAAATGAAAGTGAAAAAATGGGACATAACATTTTGTAAGGGTCAAAATAATCTACCATAGAAGCCATCGGTCAATGTTGTTTATTTGTGAATGTTCGTTGAACATTATAATTATATATACGAATAGTTGAATCAGAATTGATATTTGGAGAAGCGATATAAACTGTAAATGTATGAACTTGTGGTATATGAATAAGAATTTTATTATCGAGATAAGAGCCAAATCCTTCAGTGCTACGATAACATGTTAATGAGAAATATTTTAAATTAGGTAGATCATCCTGAAAAATAGAAAGCAAATATTTATACTTCATTTTTATCAGTTGAGCTAAGAAATAAACTCACATCAACCATTAATCAATAAATATTATTCATTTTCAAAATTCTATGAAATATATTTATTATCTTGTAACAATAATTGCTTTGTATTTGTTAACTTGAGATGCATAGAAACTAGTAAACAATTCGATAAAATCATCAAATATTACTTAGGGTATACCAAAAGTTCTGATCACAGTTTTTAAAATTTAATAAAGCAATAAATATTGAATATTTTACTAAGGCGATATATAGTATAACGTCTCGTCTTTAATAATATATAGAGCAACTCTCTCTTAGACTTAGTTTTAACATCCTTTCAGACTAAATCTATAATTTTACAGACAATGCAAATATTATTAATTCTTGTTCAATGGTCAGGTACATTCTGGAACTTTCTATTGGTCACTCTCTCGTCACGTTTTATGACGTCATGTTCTAGAATATTACATTTCGATAGTATATATAAATGAGAGGTCGTTCGCTGTTAGTTCATTTGTACCGTACTCGACTTAAAATCGTAATAGAGTTTGATTTCAATCTTAAAAGAAGACATTAAACATGACTGATGAATTCAATCGATATTATATCAAAATTCGAGCTATTTTGGGAATAGATTCAAAAACAATCTTTGACGAACTTACAGAGGCATTGGGACCTGATGCTCCATCATATCCAACAGTCAGAAGATGGGCGAAACGTTTTCGTGAAGGAAGAGACGATGTCACTGATGATCCTCGATCTGGTCGTCCGATTTCGGTACTTACAGATGAAAATGTTGAACGCGTTCGACAAGTTATCGAAGATGATCCACACTCAACTTATGATGATATTATGGGTGAGACTGATCTATCACGTGGTACAATAGAACGAATTATTCATGATCGTCTAAAGATGAGAAAAGTTACATCACGTTGGGTTGCTCATCAACTTACTGACGAACAAAAAAAAAAACGACTTAGAATTTGTCGTCAAAATTTAGAGAAATTTAGAAATGGAACATGGCATTTATGTGATGTTATTACTGGTGATGAGACATGGATTTATCACAGGCAGATTGGTCGAAAGTCAAGCAATGCTACTTGGGTTGGCGAAAATGAACTACCAAGAACCATTGTTCGTCGGAATAGATTTGAACCTAGAACACTATTTTGCTTCTTCTTCAAATCCACTGGTTCTCTTCTCATACACAAAGTAGATAAGGGCAAGACAATCGATCATGACTACTATATTGATAATTGTCTTATACCTGTTATCAATGAAATAAGAAAAAAGGAAAAGTCATCACGTACTACATATAAAATGCTTCATGATAATGGTCCTCCTCATACTCATCCAGATGTTATTGATTATTTAATGGAGGAAGGAATCGAAATCATTCCACATCCACCATATTCACCAGATCTCGCACCGTGTGACTTTTGGCTAAATGATTATATCAAGAACAAGTTGACGGATCACACAAACGAAGAATCATTAGCTCAAGAGGTTTCCACCATAGTGAAGAATATTCCAATAAACGAGTTTAAAAAGACTTTCGATAAACTGTTAGAAAGAATGAAACTTTGTATCGAAAATAATGGTGATTATTTTGAGCATTTAATAAAATAAAATAACGAATGTCTCTTCGTTTCTGTATTGTGGTTTTATGTTGGCATGATCTTTTCTTGGCTATAAATACTATAGATTTAGTCTGAAAGGATGTTAGAACTAAGTCTAAGAGAGAGTTGCTCTATATATTATTAAAGACGAGACGTTATACTATATATTGCCTTAGTAAAATATTCAATATTTATTGCTTTATTAAATTTTAAAAACTGTGATCAGAACTTTTGGTATACCCTAAGTAAATAGGAATGCATTTTCTTAACATATTGCGTTAGTCAAGAAAATGAAGCTTTAAAAAACCTCGTCAGATTAAAGTGTTTATTTTGAAACTAACTACATATTTTATTTTGTTTGAATAGATAAGTCCAACATAATTAATGGGATAGATTTAGAACAAAATATGCTGTATCAGGTCATTTAATAACGACAATGATTCATTAATTATTTTCAAATGAATAACGATTAATTATGAAATAATCTCGAATAACGCCAAAACAATTTTTTTTTTCAGATTATTTTTTGATAATCAAAATTTAAACATCATATTTACTAATGTAGACATCTTATTGTTTATTGAACTTCGAATTATTTCAACTTGAATGATGAATCTAGTTAATTGTTTTAGACGATCATCAAGTAAAGTGTGAATATCATTAAAATCGTTTATGTTGATACATAATTCAGTCAGTGTCGAAGAAAAAAAAGACGTTGGCGGTAAAAAATATAACGACAAGCGTGGACAAT